TCTCTTACGACTTTCGCCGGCGCCGGCGACGTCGTCATCGTCGTCATCGCTTGACAAGGTTGGTCGGTCGTCGCAGCACCACAAGGTCGGACAGGTCGAGAAGACCGAACTTCAAGCTGCGATGAGACTCATCATGGCCCTGGAAGAGCTGCACGAGACGGCCACCCACGGTCGCTGTCGAGCCGTGGAATTACGGTGTATATTTCCGGTCCAAATGATTTTTGCAGCCTTGTATCGTTGTGAGAATCGAGGGGTACTTGATATTGATGTGACAATGGCAGCGATGGTTGGGGGTGAGGGTGGAGGTGACGGTGACGATATCGGTGAAGGTAGAGGCGCAGGTCACGTTGGGCAAAAGATACAAGCGGTGAAAAAGAGTCGACACCTACAAATCCAATGTATCGGTGTTCAAAATCGATGGACAAAAGGGTTTCATCCTTATGGGTTGAGTATGGAACTGATGAGGACCATAGCAGAAATATATAGTGGTGGACCCATCCCTGTTGGTATGAGGGCTCAACATGTGTCTGGTGAGACGGAGCCCTGTGATGATGATGGAGATCATGATGCTGATGGTTGACTACCTAGATAACAGAGACTATCAACGGAGCCCCATCTGTACAAAGTTCTTGTCTAGATAGTACTAGAGTAGAGTCTTATTCCAATTCCATAGTGATTCGGTTGCGTTGCACACTCCTCGAGCTTCGGAAGTCGGGGTACAACCACAGCTTCACGAAGGTCCGACTAGATCTACGGAGTACCATCTCTCGAATTGCGTTTAGGGAGTAAAGCGTTAGTATGTGTTAACCAGCATTGATTAAATACGCCGCCCCCCCCCCTTTGTTGGGCATCAACATCCCAAAAAGGGAGGCCTGAAACTCCAAACCCACGTCAAGTCAAATCATTTCCACAACCAAGTAACTTACCATTGTGCCTACAACGTTGCGTTTGGTACGGTTAGACCATGTCATCTCCCTCTTCCCGAGGAATAAAATCATCTTTGGCACGGCTGCCCACTCGATCGACGGTCTAGAACTTTGAGAAGTACTCAGTAGTAGTGGTGGTGCGCTAGTGATCAGACTGCACATACTCCGTATCCAAGACGATTATAACCCGTAACAAAGGGCATACACACAGTAGTGACCGGAATAAAGTATCCGTACCTAGCCTTTCCGTGTTCCCGTCGGTACTTGACTCTTGGGGGATGCATACCTAGGTCTTATGGAGTGGTACACCAGTTGGGCAGCAATGTGACAGTGCGAACCGAAATCGACGATGACCCAACCATGGTTTTGTTTGGGATTCACCTGAAATCCTACTTCCCGTATTTTTCCAAATGAGATTTGTTTGTTTTGGTTTCACCGTGTATGAGAGAGAGAAAAAAAGAGATAAGAGAGTGAACTCAACTTTTTGGAACCGGGAAGCCGAGAAAATGTTCTTGACTTTTGTCTTTATGCCTGCATTCCGTGACTGTACAGTAGTGTTAAGTGTTTTGCAAGGCTAGGTAGTAGCCGAGTACTTGTCATATAAGTGGCCTGATGACACACAAACGTGAATGGGAGCAAAGATCCGCTCCTGAGTCTGGTTCCCGCGACTCAGACTCACGAGTGACCAAGAAAAACCAAATAACTCCCGCCCCGTAGTGTGTAGATTTTGACTGATTGATCTAGTTAAAAAGACAATGATCCCAGATGGGAAAAGAACCAAAAGAGAAGGAAAAGAGAATCTAGATGGCTACATGTCAGGTCTGACATTGGAGATGTTCGCCGTCGGTAGTCGCCTTGCTTGACACGTAGTCATTGAAAGCACTCCAGAGGTTCCTGTCTCTCGGAAGTCAGAGGGGGTCTGATACTCCCTCCGTAGTCTATATTGAGGCCGGTTATAGTGTCGTCTTTTTATCGTGACTGAGATTGTCGGTAGTAGGCTGAGGAAATAAAGGTCCTTGAAAATTTGACGTCGACACCAAAAACAAAACCATCCACCCATCCAAAGCAACTTGATCCGCCCATTATGAAATGAGACACCAAAAAGAGGAATCCAAAGACTTGTACTTTTCCGCTTTTCCATCCTGTAATTTATATGTGTTCTTGTACATGGGGAAATGTTTTACGAAGGAGAAAACAGGATTGGCAATGGCGGCATTGGCACATCACTACCACCATGGACATTGTTTGTCGTTCGTACTGTCGAGAAGTGAAAGAGACTTTGATGATGAGTAGACTGACATGCTGTCCGGAGATAAGTGATTGGCACAGCAAGCAATGATTGGTACATCAAACATCATGTCTTCGTTTCGCGACTGTGTGTGAGAGAAAGACGTGTCGTTGTAACCAAGCTCAACTACTAGGTATATTTTCGACCAATGTACTCGGGTTGATCCTTGGCCACTTTACCCGTTACTTTGTCGCTGTACAAGGAGCAAAGGTTGCAGATGAGGAAGCCGCAGTTCTTGCACTCCCAGGCCTTGGTGGTCCGGCTGGCGCAGTTGTGACAGGTCCATTCCATAGGGGAATGGCCTTCGTTGAGTTTGCCAACATATTCATGGCCGGGACAATTCTTCTGAGTGTAAAGAAAATTGAGACGGGTCCCGGCGGGCTATTCTCAGTGACAAAGCTTCAAGTCAGACCAAGTTTGGAACAAGAAGGAACAAGGGTAAAAGAGAGTGAAAGGCAGGCAACATAAAAGGGAAGGATCAAAGGTTCGCTTCAACATACATCAGTATTGGTTCGTCTGCTATTGCCCATTGCTCTCTCACTCGTCTTCCCAATTTGATATTTTGTAGGATATTTTGCGTCGAGGTATGAATGAGAAAGGTTGATCGGTTTTTATGCGTGTGCCGAAGGACGATATCGATCTCTGATGTTTTTGAGGTAGCGACAGGAATAAGTTCAAGTGAAACTTGTAGCGATCCAAGGATTCGATATGAAAAAGGATACGAACAAGATAGAGAGAGTGAGAGGGAATGAGATCAAGAAAGGCTGTCGTCGGTCACCTTCTTTCCCATGGCTTCAATTGCATTCGACGAAATTCCAGTACCAAAAACCAGGATCATTTACGAGGTAACAGTGACAGTGACAGTGACAGTGACAAAGTGAATCCTTCCCTTCAACCCAAATCAAAAAGAGGGAGGGCAGTGAGACAAGGTCGGCACACCACTAGCCACCGTGCACACCCATACGAGTAACGATGTATCCGTTTGTAAGATTCCAGGAAACACGAGAAGGGCAGGCCGAAGGTGACATGTTTGACGGGGGTTTGGCAAGGGTTGATTTGATGGTTCCAAAATAAAAAAAGAAGAGGCGAACGGGAGGACTTTTCCGTGACTTGATCCATCCTTGAAGGCGATTACCGGATAGAGCGATGAGCAACTAGACGGTGTGCGGCGTGAAAATCTGGATACCACTACTGGTACTTGCCCAGGTTCAGCCCCTGCGGGATCAGGTATGGAGTTGGCTGATGGGGAGGGGTCCTCCCGTGGAAACTCTCTCGACGGAGGATAGTGTTCTGTGGGATACTCGTAGTGGACCACGGGCCAGACGTGAAGCCTAGAGAGATAGCCAACGGCTTAACGGAGTGTCTTCCACCCGAAGGTCTAAAAAATCCCCAAGGACCCTTGCCCGCGGATAGTGTCTCTAGAAGTGACAGCTCTTGTGGCCAGGGAACAAGGTGCGTACTGTAATGTAGTAGGTAGTACGAGGCGGTCAGAAATATCCCCCTGTCTGCAGCACGCGCGGAATCACCTCTTTTCCGCTTACCGGATAGACCAGGAAGAACCGTGCGCGGAAGCACCAGAACAAGGATTAAAGTTGTTGACATGGGAGACCATTCCATGATGCGGTTGAGGTCCACGAGTTACAAGGAATTAGTAGCCGCGTGGATTGGATTTGCTGCAAGGTACTCCGTACTAGGTATCCGTACTGGTGTGCGGTAAAAAGTCCAAGCCGGTCATGCCATTAAAGGCGATAGTTGGCAACAAGACGCCAGCACCGATTGAGAGGTTCCGTGGGGAGAAAGACGCCTTGTGGACGTTTCCTCAAAAGTATCCGTAGGTACCTGGGTACCTGGTAGGTAGGAGAAACGGGCCACGACCGGGCCTTTTTTTGGCGGGCCACTAACCGCCTCGTGTGAGATCATGATCCGACATTTTTCTATTACGCGGGGATCCATAGAATCCCATTTGACTTGGGATGTCGCCGCCGAAAGACCAGGACAGGGGGGGGTTGAGATATTTGGTGTTGAAGTACTGAGTAAGTCGTCTCGTAACAATGTTGGGGGAGAAAAGGTACCTGAACTTCGCGTACTCAGGGTCAGGCTCGCCTCCAGAAACGTGAGGCGACTCGCGAAGAAACAAGCGATACAAGGCGCCGCCTAATTCGTTCGATGGAGACACCCCAGTCTTCGCGTCCTGGCGATCGGCATACAGGGCGTCTGGATCGAAGAACCGAATTGTGCGCAAAAGGACCCCTGGTCGCTCCAGCCTAACAATACTGCCAGCCCCCCCGGTCAAGCCACCAAACGACCGCCAGCCTCAGGCGGTGACCACGGTGCTCGTACTGTGTGTCCGGAGCATGAAAAGAAAGCCCCAAAACAACCTAGTCATAGGATGATCCGAACACGTCCTCCAGTACTGTAAAATAAAACAGTAACACTCCAAGACAGGGAGGCCTACATTACAGCCAAGGGGGAGGGGGAGCCTTTAGCGATGACCATAGCTGCGGATCCGCTCGCCCTGCATCACTCTACGAGTATCTCAAAACAAAGCCTCCTCAAGTACCTACCTAACCTTAGCTTGGTGACGGGCTCTCTAGAGAGTCTTTACTTCTGGAACTTAACTTTCGGGGCGTTTGAGCCACGGATAAACGATCCATTGGGGCCCTAGACGAGCTGCTTTGAAGTATCCCTGGAGTCAATTTAAATACTAATTTTGCCAAAGCAAAAAAGATACATCATTTACTGCTGTTCCAAGGCTGAAGAAGAACTTATGTACGCTCCGTAGTAACCGCTACTTTCGATGATCTGGTGGTGGTTCAAGAGGAGAAAACAGCAAAATTCAGTCAAGGTGACATGGTTGTACGGCAAAAAAGGGAGTAATATGATAATCTGGATCAAGATTGTGGCTATCCATCGTCCCGAGATTTCGGAGATGCACCGAAAAAAGAAGGGAACAATCGAGCTGAAAATGCTCCGTATTGCTCTACGAGTTGCCACTTTGGGACCCCCAACCATACTGCTGAGAGAATCCTGTCCTCCATAGGACCATCCCTGTGCAATAATGCCGTGTCACAGCAACGATAATGTGCCTCCCGTAGTTGTACAATACCGAACAAAACCCCCTCCCCTGGGTTGATCGCCCATCATAGGCTACGAGTGGAATACATGGGGCTGGAAACAAGGGAAAAACCCGAGATTTGCTGCGATGCTCCGTAAGGCTGCAGGCGAAATGCAGGCTGGTGGCTGATGCAGCTCTACAGGGGTGTGATGTTGACAGCCACTCCGCGTCCGCATAATAACCTGCACCAGCGACAACTCTCCCGGCGTTCAGCTCAACAGATGTTGTGGTTTGCCTTTCCTTGTGAATGAAGCAATGACCAAGTACTGCCACCCTGCGAGCTAATGGTGTGTGGGCCTGTCCTTGAGTCGAGGCTGAAGCTGAGGTTCAGCCAAAAACCGGGTTCGAGCTCTGCTCAACTTCCGATCTACACTAAAGTAATCGATTACTCATTCACGCGAAACATGCTTGACATGTCCTCTGTGAATCATTGAGTAAGCCTGGGTAACTCGTAAAGATATCCGTGTTGTTCAGATCAAACTTACCTCCGTGGTGATTCCGCCGTATTGCCTCCGCCAGCAGATTCGACATATCAATCACAATCAATTTCTTGGACGATCTCATGCGTTCGGGTGAGATGGGAAAGGTATTCGTGACGACGATGTAGTCGATGCAGTCGCACTCTTCCAGCTCCTCTAGGGAGTCGTCGCCGAACAATGCGTGCACCGCGACGCAGTAAACCTTTTTGGCGTTGCCGATCTTGACACACGTCTCGGCGGCTGCAATCCATGATCCCGACTTGTCAATGATGTCGTCCATCAAGATCACCGTCTTGTCCTTGACATCGCCCACCAGGGTTATGGTATGTTCGAGGTCAGGGTTTTTCATCTGCTCCTCTTCTTCGTCCGAAGTGGCTGCGGCGTCAAAAGTCCCACCCAGGGCATGCTCGGGTTGGAAAGATGAAGTAGTAGACACGAAAGAAGCAGCCATGGGATCGTAGCCAAAGCCGTCGGGTCCATCTTGCAGGTTCTGAGAATTACGATCGCCGTGTCCGCCAGACACAGAACCTGAGCTTGAGACCGCAGACGATGGATGGTCGTCGTCCACAAGGTGACCCTGGATCAATCGACCCACCCTCACATCGCGCACCCTCTCATCGTGTAGAGCTTCACTAGGTTCGTATTCCGAGGGACGACGCGCACTCGGTGCTGTATCAACTCGGGCCAGTTCATCGGGCGTAGCCGGTCCAGGCGATGACTCTACTCGTGTGGTTCGTATGAGCGGACTGGATGTAATGGTGACGGATTTTGGACGACCCAGCCGATTCGTTCCGCTCCTCGCAGAACTCTTCTTGCGGTGAGGCAGTGGACCGCGATGCGTGGTGTCTTGAAAAGGGTCCTCCAATCCACTCTCGCCCTCCTCGCCATCTTCTCCGTCACTCTGACGATGTTCCAGTCGGATAGATTGCGGCTCAATGGCATCAAAGAAGATGGTACTATCCATCATGTTGTTATGGTGATGTGACGGTTTCGAGCGATCTCTATCGGTAGATACCAGAGCGAAGCTCAATTTGAGAGCATCCGCCAGGGAGGTGACTCGTTTGGTTCCGCCAACGTTCTTACTAACAACCACAGCTTTCTGCCAGCGAGGCACATTGGCCTTGATCCAACGTGCGATGATAGGTTCAGCAAATAGATTGTCAACGGGTTTGCCGAAAAATCCTTGCATTTGTGAAGCGTGGAGGTCGACCGTGATGACATGGTCTACCCCGGCGACCACCATCAGGTTAGCCAACATCTTGGCAGTAATTGCACCACGATGGCTCTTCTTCTTTGACTGGCGAGAGTAGGGAAAGTACGGTATGACGGCTGTGATAGATTTGGCTGAGCCGCCCTTGCATGCCGCAATCATGATGAGCATCTCCATGACACTGTCATTGATATTTCGGCTGCCGCTCTGAACGATGAAGACATCCTCGTTTCTGACCGAGGTTCCAATTTGCACGCTGATCTCCCCATTTGCGAAGTTGCCCAAGTCGACATTGGCTGGTGAAGTCCCTAGTCTCTCGCATATCGATTGGACGAGGGTGGGATGAGACCTGCCTGAAAAGACCTTGACTCCTCTCATGGTAGCTTTGTGCGGCAATCACCAAGGCCGCAGTCAAGTCTTGACACGGGTGAGGATGTTCTCAAATTCGTGATATAGACTAAAGGGTACTGAGCTAATCAATGCATGTTGCTAACGGGGTCATATTTTTTTTTCTTTGTCAACGTTCCCGTGTAGGAACGAATGAGAAGTGAAATGAATGAGGGAATCAATCACGTGACTGCGCTTTTTATTTTTTTGGGGTTTATCTTATCGGTGACTGGATCGCTTCTGAATCAAGGGAGCATCGTGCATCATGCATTCTTCACTACACTCTCGCATCTTTTGTCTGTTGTTCACTTCATGGTGACTGGCATGATGCTTTCATCATGTCTACAAAGTTTCCAGAGATTCAGGGAGGGGGTTCCCTGATTCTTGCATGGCAAATCAAAGGCAAAGAAGTCTTGGTTGTAGGCGGCGGCGAAGTGAGTTCTCCCTAGTCTTGTTAATCTCTAGTGGTGCAAAACTGACGGTGCCAGGTCGCTGCTGGTCGCATTGTCAATCTCCTTGATGCCGATGCCAAAGTCACAGTCGTCTGTCCAAGGAATGGGCTCAATGAAGAGGTGGCATACCGGGTGAGCAACGGACAGGTCAAACATGTTGACCGCGTCTTCTTACCTGTTGATCTCGAACCTGAAAAGAAAGTGGCCATGGTATTGACAGCCATCGACGACCCTGACGCCTCTACACGAATCTGGAAGTATTGCAAACAGATGAAAGTGCCCGCCAATATCGCAGACGTCCCTTCGGAATGTGATTTCTACTTTGGTAGTGTCCATCGCGACGGACCCCTTCAGATAATGGTATCAACAAACGGCAATGGACCTCGACTGGCTGCCGCAATCCGACGACAGATCGGCCAGATGCTACCAGAGGGCACGGGAGACAGCGTCAAGAGAGTGGGCCAACTCAGACGAAAATTGCGCAAAGTTGCCTCGGGAAAGACCAGTCGAGACATCAGTAAAAGAATGGCATGGATGAGTGAGGTCTGTGATAAATGGAGCACTGATGATTTTAACGATATGGACGACGAGGACATGGATAAACTGGTTCGATATTACGAGTCCGGCGAGGTACCCAGCTTCGAGGAGATTCGGCTAGGATCTCGCGACCATGTTGTCTGGGAATTTGATGGTACCTTTGGGTGGATGTAACATTATCGTGGTAGGTAACAGATGATTGCCCGAGTGCCTTGATGATGTGTACGAATATCTCAGCTACGGAGCATTTTTGAGTAGCTATCTCGGTTCGCATGACTTGTTACTTGAACTGGGAGCCTTGTAGCCTTGCATTGGCGAGGTACCAGTGCTTGTACACAGAGTACTAGTGTTCATTCTCGTGTCCAAGTAACAAACAAGGGGGAAAAATTCACCAGTGACGTCTACACGGACGGGATGAAAGTGTGTTTACTTGTACGAGACGAGCAGGAGGAGATCCGTGGAGGATATGGGTTGCTACGAGTACAAGAGTGTGGGCGGCAGCGGAAAAACTTGGCGCCGTCGTACCAAGAGAATGGAGGGGCCATCGATGACGTAGTGTGGCAGTTGGTGGGCTGAATCTTGCATTTGCACTTCCTGTACGTAAAGTGGATGACCATAACGCGTATGAGAAAGAGAAGAACCAAGAGGTGCACAATCGTCTAACACTGACAAGACCATCGAGGGGCCGAGCTCTCGATTTCTGGAAACATCTTCCTTTCCTTCTTCCCAGTACTTCATCTTCTTCACCAACGACAGTCCTTTTACAAGCTATTGGCCGCTTGCTGGTGCAGGTTTCCCTGTCTCTACCCCTCAGCAGCGCCTGGTTGCGCAGCTTAACGCGCCCAATCATCTCGACGAGGCTCCTCTGTCCAATTTTTTGTCGATCTCAATCGTCGACGAGGTCTCGAGACGAGTGTGGCCCGGCCCCTACACCTGAATAGACCTGTCTTGGAAGGATCATCGTCATGCAGGCACTTCGCGAGAAGCTCAAAGGTCAGTTCGTACCAGTAGTAGCGAAATGAGTTCAGATTGGTAACAGTGGTTGGACAGACTCCAAGCTTCATGATGCCAAAGTCGAAGCCATTCATTTAAAGCACAAGATAGGCAAGCTCAAGAACTTGGTAAACCGAAATCATCGCCATGATGAGGAACATGAGCAAGCCACCGACCGCAAAAGAACTGCCATCTGCGACAGCCATCGCTTCAAATCGTTTTTCCCAGAGCGAGACAACAACAAAATCAAATGGTATGTTGACGGTCGTGACTACTTCTGGGCTGTTTCTGTTGGTATTGAAAATGCCAAAGAGACCATTTACATTGCCGATTGGTGGCTCTCGCCCGAAATCTTCATGCGTCGCCCCGCCTTCTTCAATCAGGAGTGGCGTCTAGACCAGATCATCAAGCGGGCCGCTGAGCGAGGTGTCCAGGTCTATGTGATTGTCTACAAGGAAGTCCAGCAGGCACTAACTTGCAACTCTGCCCATACTAAACACGCGCTTCGAGCTCTCTGCCCCGAAGGCACTCCGGGTCATGGAAACATCCACGTTATGCGACATCCAGACCACAATGTGTTTGAGAACATGGGGGACATGACATTCTACTGGGCTCATCATGAAAAATTCATCGTCATTGACTACCACCTTGCATTCATTGGTGGTCTCGACTTGTGCTTCGGACGATGGGATCTTCGTCAGCATCTCCTCGCAGATGTCCATCCATCGGGCGTCGTCAATGAACTGTTCCCTGGCCAGGATTTCAACAACAACAGGTGGGACAAATTGAATTTCTATGTCTTTGATGTATGCTAATATGACCTGTCTAGAATCATGGACTTTCAAACCGTCCAAGACTGGTCCAACAATGAACTCAACAAGACCGATTATGGTCGTATGCCTTGGCACGATGTGGCCATGGGCTTAGTAGGTGAAAGTGTGATTGATATTGCAGAACATTTCGTCCTTCGATGGAACTTTATCAAACGTGACAAGTATAAACGTTCTGAAGGCGTTGACTATCTTTGCATGACCACACGCTCTAATGCCGATGGTTCCAATCCCGATGAAGATCTGATCTCTATTCAACGACCCAAACACCCTGTCGGCAAGTACATCGAGCACCCACTCAGCCCCCTCGAGAGCAAGGGCCTCCAAAATGCCGGCAGTGTACATGCGCAGATTGTTCGTAGTAGTGATGATTGGTCGAGTGGGATTCTGAACGACCACAGCATCCAAAATGCCTATGCCGAGGTCATCGAGAACGCCGAGCACTATATCTACATTGAAAACCAGTTCTTCATTACCGCGACTGGCGATCAACAGTTCCCCATACACAACACGGTTGGCCGTGCTATCGTCAATGCGTGTGTTCGTGCTGGTAAAGAAGGCCGCAAATTCCGCGTCATCATTGTCATCCCGGCCATTCCAGGATTTGCGGGTGACTTGCGCGAGGACGCGGCCATAGGCACCCGTGCCATCATGGACTACCAATACAGATCGATCAACCGCGGCGAACACAGCATCATGGGACAGATTAAGGCGGCGGGACTCGACCCGACCGAGTACATTTTCGTCTTCAACTTGCGCGCGTACGACCGCATCAACAAGACCCCAGCTTTGATCCAGCAGGAGAAAGAATCAGGAGTCTCGTACCAGCAGCTCCAGCGCGCCGAAGCCGAAGAGATCATGGGCACCGGCATCCATGGCTACGAAGGCGAAAGACAAGAAGGAGAGTCTCACGGTATCGGTCACGGTGGCAGCCACGGTATCAGCGAGGACGAGAAGGAACGCATCATCGACCGCAAAAGACAGTTCGAGGCTGCCCGTCACAAACTCGATGTCAAAGACCCCGTAACGTCGACCGACTCGATCGCCGAAGACGCCATGGCCCGCGGGGGCCTGGTGACCGAGGAGCCATGGGAAGGCGAGCCCGAAGAGGAAAAAGCCAACTTCGTCCAAGAGGAACTGTACATCCACGCTAAACTGCTCATCGCCGACGACCGTACCGTCATCTGCGGCTCGAGCAACTTGAACGACCGCTCCCAACTAGGCTCGCACGACAGCGAACTCTCCATCGTCATGACCGACACACGCACCATCGAGTCGACCATGGACGGCAAACCGTACCAAGCCGGCTTCCACGCAGCCACTCTCCGACGTCACATCTGGCGAGAACACCTCGGCATGATCGAAGCCCAGCCCGTCGATGCGTCAAAGGACCCCAACGCTCAGCCTCCAACCGTCTGCATGAACGAAGAATATAGTGGCGAGGAATGGGAGTTCGTCGCGGACCCCCTGGGTGACGAGGTCTGGAACAAATGGACAGGCCAAGCGACTGTCAACACCGACGTTTATAGACATCTCTTCCGCGCCGACCCGGACGACAACATCAAATCGTGGAAGGACTATGATAGTTTCGCGCCCCGCAAGACCATCAAGCAGGGCCATTTGCACGATCCACATATGCCGGCAGAGATGATCCGTAAGGAACTCGACAAGGTTCGGGGCCACCTCGTTTGGATGCCGTTGGACTTTTTGTGTGAGGAAAATATGGCAGAGAGGGGAATGCAGGTCAATTCTTATACTGAGGTGAGTGGTTGACCTTGTTTGTGACTTGCTATCTTTTCTTCATTCTGGTTTCCTGGCTTGTTCTTTTTTTCCCTTGCTCTCGTTTGACAATTACATGAATACTGACTGTTTGTGCTCATAGAGTATCTACACTTGATTTTTGCGGCACCGAATAGCGGACTGATTATCCTGCTAGCGGTAGACGAGTACATCTTCCTGCTGTGGAAGTCTGCAAAGTGACTTGATAGTGTAATATATTATATTACTGTTCACTATGGAATATTAATGATTCGATTCCTGTCCATCCATGGCTTTGACACGAGCTCGATCTTGATTCAAACATTTGAGGAACCAAGTTGGCGATCTGTGAACCTGTTCAGCTAACCGGCAATCTTTCCTCCTTCGCGTTAGTACATTTTTATATCGACTTCCTTCTTCTAATTCCTCCTCCTAGACACAGAATACACCGCCAGATGACAGGCCTGACCTCGTTCCCTGTCATCCCGTTTTCCTCTCGGACCGGCGCAACAACGTAATTTTGTACCGGTAGTTGACACCAGCGGAACCAGCGACAAACCAGCCTTGCATCGTCAACTTTGTTTGCTACACGATTGCCTGAGGAATCTCTCTCGCACAAGAATAGATTTGTTTCCTGGCTCTCTCTCTACTTCCAATCTGATACCTTGAAGGACTTGAAACCTTAAGATCAGTGATAGACAGGGTAGCTCAATATGTCTTCCATCTACAGCAACCCAGAGGAACTTTTCAGAATGATGGCACGTACCAACCCGAATCTACCAATTACCCCCTTCATTTCCATCTCCTGATGAAGTCAGAATTGAGTCAAAAGTCTATTCCAAAGAGATCTTCAATAGCTGGGGCACCTTTTGTGGCATTTTGGTGCGTCGTGAGGAGGTGATACGAAAACGATGGATGAACAAGAGAAAAGAACAACGCAAGAAAATTCTTTTAGCCGCTTGGCCAGGCATGCCCGAGCGACACCGACCGGATTTCTACGAGCTTTCAAAGAGCGGAGCCCGTGCTGCGTCAAGATATATTGAAGCTTTCAAGTATCCCTATGTTAACCAGGAAGATGCTCTTTTCAGGAAGAGCATCGTTATTATTCCTGAATTAACGCGGTCGAAACCCACCCCATGCCTTTGCCCACGCCGATCTCGACGCAATGCATATTGGACAGACTAGCAAGATGATTATCCCGGTATTCCTCAACGAATACACAATGTGCATCGCCGGCGAAACAGATCCACTCGCCTGGTTAGCTGGAATGATGACGACGATGCGTTCATGTTGCAGCACAATTGTCTCCAGTTCCAGACTGGGACGGGACTTTTGGTTTTAGAAATCCAGAGCAAGATCTACTCTTTCCTTCTCGAATGCTGCTACCAATTATTTCACCATGTCCTGCGGGACGAGCTGGCCAGTCCCGAGATTCCTGAGCTACCTGAGCCACCAGCGATCGTTGCTTCTGGGACCTCTTACGCGTAGCTTTCTTCAGTGGCAGCAGAAGCACCATATAGACTCCCAGCCAAGCTTGACACGCATCGACTTGTTCTCCTGGGAGAGGCCAAGCGAGCTGCTGCTGAAGACCATGTTTGGGATCTCAGAGAAGATCCAGGGTATTTCGCATCGGTGGCTGTTGATCGATCACAGCACCGCCAGGAAAGCCTTCTCGACACACAGGGCCGACGCCATCCGCACGACCATAACGAGGTTTTCTGGAACCAAGTGATAAGAGGCCTCCCTGTCGAGGCTTATATGACCTTTCTCTGTTGGGATCTGCTTTACAAGTACGCAGTCAGGCTGGACGATGCCTTCAGATCTGCCGGAGCTCTGAACCATGGTCAACCTCTGCCCAAGAAGCTCGAGCTTGCCCTGGTAGAGTTGTGCTTCGCAGCCGAAATGATCTCAAAGGGCCTGATCAATGAATTGAAGTCCAGCGTGCCAGCATCGTCACCAATACACGAGCGCTTTGTTCGAGAACCTTAACGACTAGGAACATCCGTCATGCAGATCACGACGAAACAAGGTCTTGGCAAGGATCCCTTGCTACAGCTATTCGACATGCTGTGGGATTCAGACAAGGTGTTTTTGACGCAGCTTGCCAGCATTGTAGATGAGATACAGCGATGCGTTGACCACGATCCTGGCCAGAAGGGCAGAGTGACGTCCTACGTCGTCCAGAAATTCTCCGACCTGGCCCTCATTTCGCAACTCGTCGGGCAGGTAAAGACCTTCTTTCCATGGTCCGCGGGTTTGAAACTAGAAATGAGCCCAGAGGCCCGAAGTCCTGGGTACGATAGGGCAACGACAGATGCAGCAACTGTCTTTAATCTTTTGCGTGAAGACATCGCTCCGAAATTTGTGCGCGCCGTCGTCCCACTCTCCAAACACCTGCACTATTCCATTGAAAAGGCTTGCAACGAGACCAGCGTGAAAGCCTGCCAACAAGTAGAAGAGAGAGTGGATAGGTTGTGTAAGGTCATCGATGAGCATTGTCGAAAACATACCAACAAGACACTTCACGAGATATTTCCTCAGCCACGATGTGAAAGCTCGAGAGGTCCATCGCGCGCCAGAATCGACGCCTCGCCAGAGGCCTTGACAAGGAGAAAGTGAATGATGTCAATCTCATGACTGTCGATTCATTTTCCCGGTCTGAATTTCGAACCCGCCGAAAAGCAAGGCAGAAGGGGGAACCCACTGTTTGATTGGTGACCCATGGAAGACGTCGCCGGCACTCATCTACATGAGCTTCTAGAGAACATACGTGCATCAGCAGTTGCAAATGCCGATCGATACATCAACGACCTCGTCTTGCCGCAGCTGGCGACTCTCAAGTCTAGCAATGGCGGAGCTCTGACCGAATATGTTCGGCACTTGGCTGCTTGGACCATTTGCGCAAATGAAGGGATCGTATCTTTCGTTCGGCCCGAACGCTATGTGGAGCAATCGCTGCTAATTCGCTGGCGGAGACCGTATGACTAGCTTCCATTGGACGGAGCTAGCGGCCATACCGAAGTTCGGGAGGGGCAAGAGTGGACGAGTCGGACTACCCAGCTTGTAGTCATGGCCTGCTGAATTTCCTGCGACTTTCGAGCAGCGCAGAGACGACCGTAGAGGAATTGAATCTACCTTTACCAGATACGACCAGGTTGTAAGTCTGCTTCAAGCTACTTCTTTCACCAGTCAAGTTCATCATGTTGTCTAGACGGTTCTTCTCAGACGATGAAACTTTCAGCTATGAAGCCCTGCGAGCAGCAGGCTACAGCAACTATGGCGGAGCCGACCTGGGCGAAGTCTTCAACATCTGTGCACGGATAAAGGCAGGTGATGAAAAAGGCTGGCTACGTGAGTGGAAAGCTGCTGCCCAAAGAGCAGAGCAGAATGCCCGGATTTCGGAAACCGGGGGAAACGAGCAAAGTGCTTTTACTGGATACCTTCGAGCTTCCAACTATTATCGGACTGCTGAGTTCTTTCGACGCTCCAACCCTTTCGAAGACAAAGAATCCCGCGACCTGTTCAACAAGTCAAGTGAAGCGTTCTTGAACGCGATGCGTCTGGGACCGTACGAATGCCAGGAGGTTCAGATTCCGTACCAGGAAACAACGTTGCCAGCCTACTTGATGCTTCCACAAGGCAACAGGACCAAGCTCAAGACCATTGTGTTCAATGGGGGTTACGATTCCACAAAAGAAGAGTCGTGGTTCGCCATCGCGGCCCCAGCACTTGATAGAGGATTCGCTGTCGTTGCATTCGATGGACCCGGTCAAGGTGCAGCTCTCCGGGAACAAAGATTAGCTTTCCGTCCGGACTGGGAGACAGTGCTTACTCCTGTGCTTGATTTCGTCGTGAGGCGTCCCGAGGTGGACAGTGAACGTGTTGTTGTCTTTGGATGGAGCATGGGTGGCTACCTTGTAGCTAGGGGCGGGACGGCCGAACATCGTGCAGCTGCCCTTATTCTTGATGATGGGGTATATGACTTCGGCCTTGCCTTCAGAAATGGCCTGCCGAGTTTCATGCAGCGTCTTATCGACTGGGGCTACGATGGCATATTCGACGCCTTGGTGCAGAAAGCAATGCGTTGGTCGTCTGGTCTTCGATGGGGGGTGCTGAACGGACTTTGGACTTTTGGAGTGAAGTCTCCGGCAGACTTCCTCAGGGCAACGAAAAATTACACACTCGAGGGCTGTTGCGACAAGATCAGAACACCATCTCTTATACTCGATGCGTCTGAGGACCACTTCCTCCGAGGACAACCGAGAGTTCTTGCAGACCACCTCACATGCGAACATGAATTGGTTACACTCGGCAAACTTGATGGCGGCGAGACACATTGCCATCAGGGTTCATTTGGTCGGGTTCATCAAGTAATATTTGATTATTTGGCTAAGAGACTCGGTAGTTGTTAGGTAATAGCTTAAAAAGTCGTGAGTCTTCGTGAGCGGTCTGCTCTGCTCGTTCTCAGGCAGCGGAGGGATCCCTGTCAAGCAAAGTCTTTCGACCAAGGTCCGTAATGGCGACATAGCTTACCTAGTTCCCCTAACATTCTGCACATACATAAGTACGTTAGCATGAAGAGTCTCTATTCTGCTCTCTGCCGGACATCAACTCCGTACTAGCATAGCAAAGTGGCTATGCACACGACAGCGCCTCTTTCCTTGAGTCGTCACGACGCGGATAATTAGAAGTGTAGATTGAAGACTGAGAAGAAGATGAGAAAGAAGATGGAGAGCTGCGAGCACATCCGTCGTAAAAGCGGCAGCGTCTTGGGAAGCGCGCCGTGGACAGAGCATTTCACCGCTTCTTAAAGCGCCGAGGCACAGGTTCGGCACCGATTTCACTTCTGCGGCCAGAAAGCTGGTACAGACTTGCCCTTGTCATCCTCCTCCCATGTATTTGAACGTTTGAGGCAGCTCCTGTCCTCGCTTAGCATTAATCATCTGGTACATAGTACTGACCGAACTCAAACTCCTTCCTGGCCATGTCCGGTCTCGACTTGTCACGCACTGCCTGCACACGGTGTCGTGACCAGAAGGTAGGTTCGGGCTCTCTGATGCAACAGCCGTACTAATCCCAGGGTGATGCTTTCTGCAACAGCTCAAGTGTAGCCGCGAGTATCCCATCTGTCTCCGCTGCAGAAGACTTCACGGACACTGTGTCTATCCGCGGCCGCATGACCGTAGTAGACAGAGGGCCGAGCGAGCGCTCGCGGACGCCTCTACCTTGCTTGAGTCAACGCAAACCAGGAAATCTCATCTCGAGCCTCAGCCATCGCAGGGAGATTTTCCCAGCTCAGACTTGATCCGTCAGCATTCATCACAGCACGAGCAGGCTCACCCAGGGTTTTTCATTCTACCTGGACAGCATGGACGGACAAGAGTAGATGTGCATGTGTCACCCAAAAGCACAGAGGGACTGAGGACGGTGGCAGACATTCCATCTGATGTACGTTGGCGAATCTACCGGTTCGAGTTAAGTTAATCTCCACAAGTCGTACCCTCACCAGCTCCGGGATGCCCAATACAACAGAGACAACGATCAAGCAGATCATACACCACGCTCTGGCGACCCTTCGCTCCCACCGCTCTCGGCCGGACTTGGACTCCTGGAAATATACTTCTCGCGGGTTTACAACGCAAGCCTCCTTTTTTGGAAGCCACTCCTGTTCCAGCAGTATGTCGAGGGCAAGATACCCGCGTTTCTACTTCGCGCGATTTTTGCGCTCTCGGCTTTGTAAGTTCAGCTTCGCTCAAAAAGACAGTCTCCTAACACTTCTACAGATTTGTGGGTTCGGACCAGCGTAACTTGGAGGGGTACTCCGAGCTCCGTGCTCTAGGTGCTTTCCGTCATCGCAGTCTTCCTTGGGCCCAAGCTGCTGCTCGAGAAGCATGCTCCCTCGCAACACTCGATCCCTCGCTCGAAGTAGTCCAGACTCTAGAATGTCTGACGTTGTATTGGTTTGGAACAGGCCAGTCCAAGAGTGGCGATCTCTCTCTCGGTAAGACTCCGAAGGCTGCAGCTTTCATCTTATTGCTCACGCCTTTTCCAATAGCGCTTGCGTATCGCTGTTGCTGTGTTCTGGGTTTCAATCAAAGCAAATCCTCACGGTCAGAAAGCCCTAAAGCCTCACTAGATGCGGAATTGCAACGACGATGTTTGTGGGCTTGCTGGGCCTCCATGTGCATTGTCGCTGCACCAGAGCCATACTTGCGCTGTTGGGGGTCAGAGGTCGCAAAAGTTCCTTTACCCGCGCGAATTGATCGAGAAGCCTCTGGGATCAAGATCAGACACAAACAGTACCTAGACGCAAATTGGGTGCCCCATGATATACAGGGTCTGGGGGAGGTTGATCACATGCTGCCAACAGCTGCCGTATTGATGAAAATGGTCGGTGTCTGGTAAGCATTTTATCGAGTAACATGGCAAAGTCTTGACTTCTTCGCATTTAGGGCGAAAGTCCAGTTATTCGCACTAGACCGTCAGGCCAGCGATCCATCCTCGAAACTCGAAGAGCCGGGCGCTCTAGCAACATGGGCCGCTTCGGTTCATGCTTCAATTTCCTTGGCTCAGCGCCAGAAAATCCTTGACGAAGCTGAGCTTGGAGATGTCTTCGATGAAGCCCACCTGCTTTTTATGTGCGATGCCCTTCACAGCCTCTCTCAAATAACGGTCTACTCCACAATGGTACCACTCTTCTGTGGTCTAACAGCACAGACTACTGTCGATAGCTCGTTGGCGCAATCAAGCGCAAGCGTCGTGGTTGAGAACGCGTGGTTGTTCGCCAATCAGCTCAAAACCTATCGCGAATCTCGTCGAGACGCAACGTACATGTGTCCACTTATCGGACATTGCGCTTTCACCTCCGCAGCAGTTCTTCTCACTTTCGAGTTTGGTCGTAGGAAAAATGGGTCTGACGGTTTCATTCCAGGACTCGAATCCGTCGACACCGTATTACCCGTGGTACAAACTAACGTCAAGATTCTTGATGAACTGTGCAGATATTGGGAAGTCCTACGTCGACCTGTGAGTGATTTGTTCTTCGTCTCAACATAATTGCTGCCTCTTTAGCTAATGTATACGTTTAGTTCGACAAGATCTTGGCTGCTCTAGAGTCGCTGACTGCCAGTGCTGGCGCTAGGATCTCTTCACCGTCAGTATACAGTGATAGACCTACTCGTCAACGCCCTCTCCAGGCTCTTGAGGCGCCCTTTCCAACCAACCAACTTCATACCCCGAGTCAGCCAAGCCACGGTCTTCAAGAGCAGCCGCATACAAACACCGACATGCCCCTGCAACCACCTTCGGCAAACATTGGCCCACAGCAAGCAATCGATTGCCTATCTTTCAACAATGAACCCCAAGCCAGCAGTGGTGAAATTCTCCACGATTCAAACACTCTCGGAATGGACGACTGGTGGAATAGTTCCTTCACAGATGCGGGCTATGAAAATCTGGCAGTGCTCGAGCCAATGATGCTCTTACGTGGAAATTGGGATGGGCTTCAATAAAACTATCTAACGACCGCGACACGACTTATGGCTTGGTCTCGCCACACACGATGGGTACATGGTAGGCCGTACCAGTTTTAGCCAAATGCTGTTGCGAACCAATCTCTACTGTGGCCAGCCGCGATGTTCGTATCGGATCTCTCTGAATACAGGCTCATATGACTGGTACCAGGAAGGATCTGTATGTTCTTGAATGGAGAAGCGACCTTACTGAAAGCCTCGATTTCCAAATCCCAAGCGGTGATGTTATCGCCCTCAGCCACAATCATGCAGACCTTTGTATCCAGAATTCGTCCGAGGAACGGGAAAACCGAATAATTGAGCAACAGTTCTGCCGACTCTGTGGTGCTCCAGTGCTGATGAAGGGGAGCTTCGTGCTTTTGTAGCTCCAAGAACACTTCGTTCACGCGGGCAAAAGGCCAGACCGAGAGTTCTGTGCCAGGAGTGGTTGTTGCAAACGATATCTTGCCGCCGTTACCCTTGCTGCGAGCCCTGCGATCCCTGAGGATATAGTCCTGAAAGTCGCAGAACCGGGTCTCCCCATGGACTCGCTTCATATTGGCGTGACCATCAACGACAGGCACCACGCTGACGGCCGCCTTGACTCGGCTGTCGATTGCCGCCAGGATCAACACATGCCCACCACTGTACGATATGCCGAAGACACCGAGCCTGTTTGAGTCCACATCGTCGCGGCTCTCGACGTAAGTCAATGCGTTTCGATAGTCCGAAATCTGTTTCCAAGGGTCTAGGTGCTGGCGACGGTCCCCTGAACTTTCTCCAAAGCCTGCGTAGTCGAACCCAAGGAACTGGATACCCTTCTCATTGACAATGCGTGCGATGTGCGGCAACACAATCTCTTTGGTGTAGCACCATCCACCTGCGGCCACTACGGTGGGAAGCTTTCCCGCGGCGCCTTCAGGACGGAAGAGGGTGCCGACTAGGGTGACACCGTCACTGGGGAATTCGACTCTTAGTTCTGGCATCGTGCGAGGTCGTTCGGCGAGCGAGCTGGATATTTCAGTTGTCGACGTATCGAGACAGGATCCCGGAGCAAGCAAGGGGTTTGGACGATTTATATTCGTCTTCTTCGGCTGCAGTTTGTGCTTGCAGCGTACTTATACACAAACACGACTACACATTCGTTTCGTGAGTGTTCATCTTAGCAGGTCAATGTCACAAGAACTTCCATCGACTCGTCCGACGGTAGACGTCAGCGACTTGTACTGTTCCGTCGGAATCGGTTCCGGGGTCGGGGTCGGAGTCGGGATCACAATTCGCCAAGGGCGTCGTCCAGACCGTGCAGCTGAAATGTTCAATGCAGGAAAGTAACGCCTCATAGCCCAGCTGTATGGTGACGCTTCCCGAGTGGGATTGGTCCATCTTACCAAATGCTATTAACGACACATCCACTGAGGTTGCGCCCAATGAGGAAGCTCGTCGAATGGTATTTTTGATTTCCAGGATTGCCGTTCGAAAGAGGAGTAGGGCCCTGACCGCCGACTTTTCAGCCGGCTGATATAAAACCAGCCGGGATGCTGTCTTGCAATAAAACTCGCTTCTTTGGGTTATCAAACATCGCCCCATTGTTCATCAGCGCCGAATGAAAAAGCCGAATCCGAAACCGATCAGATATTGGGTGATTTAAGCCAAATACCACCATTGAAACCCCACAGGCTTCTTATCAGGACAATAAGCGCGACGTGGCTCCTGTTACCATCGCTTCGCCATGGTAACTGAGTTTCGGTGTTGGTGGCTCCAATCCATCTCAATTTCGCTCGAATTAAGCCAACTCGTATCCAATCAAGTCGGCTAATCGGGATAACGGTGACAACGAGAACGTAACCGCGTGATTCATGGGAGTGTTGTAACGGATCCAGTAAATTTTGTCCAGTGTCTGGACCTTTATTCTCGACTCCGATCGGCACTTCGATCATCTACCGAAATGCTGGTGTTGGAGCAGAACAATTCCTCCGGATTTGACATCAACATTCGGCCCTGCTCCTCTTTCCCTATTGATTATACAGTGAACCAAACTCGTATTGGGGCTGGAAATTAATGTTCTCCCCATATTTCCCCAGGATCTCCCCGGACACATATATTCACTTCTAATTTGTCAGATATAAAAACCAGACGAATGTTGCTCTCGTCCACCTGTGCTTGGATCTGAACAAAAAATTCTTTGAATATATCCCCGTACCTTGGCCATGCCTTCCCCTGAGCTCGCAACCGACCAGAACCGTCGAGTTTTGGGTTCAGTGAAGGCGAACTCATACAACTTGACAGTGATTCTGTTCGCCTCACTCGGATCATTTACCTATGGCTATAGTTCATCCATCATTGCATCGGTCTTTGGCCTTCCTCCTTTCTTTGACTTTTTCAATCTCTCCTTGACCGGGCCAAATGCTGCAGAAGCAAACGACATTATCGGCGGTACTAGAAACCTTTTGTCATACAAATTCCCCATAGCAAAGCTGACAAAGAGATAGCCGCGAATGGCCTTTTTTACGGGGGTGGTATCATTGGCGCTCTTGCCGTTAACTATATCCTGAACAAGTTCGGTCGGCGCAAGTCGATTCAATTTATATGCGTCATCTGCATCATCTCTGGTGCTGTTCAATGCGGTGCGATTCATATTGCAATGATCCTGGTGGGCCGATTCGTCAGTGGCATTGGTGTGGGGATGATGCAGGTGACTATACCTGCATATATGGTAAATGTCCATGCCGTTTTCCTACCGGGCCCCGTATAATAAATATCGATTATCTGGAGAATACTTACTATTTTAGTACAGTCAGAGCTGTCCCCCGCCAAACAGCGTGGCCGGATGACCGGTAACAATTCCGCTCAGAAACCAGATGTTTGCACGGGCGTCTGCTAACGTATCGAACAGGATCACATGGTGTTTTGATTGTGGTCGGTTATGTGAGATATACCAGCAACCTTCTCACGTATTGTTCCTAATTGACATAAATCTCTGACCAGACTGCAGCTGCCTTGGCTGGCCTCGGATGCTATTTTGCAGAGCCTGAAGTGGGATGGCGCCTCTGCCTTGGTCTTCAGATCGTCGCTCCGAGTCTCCTGCTGGCAGGATCCTTTCGGCTTCCAGAATCTCCAAGGTGGCTTCTCTCACAGGGACGAGACCAGCAAACATTGGATGTTCTGCGCCGTTTACATGATCAAGCGGATGATGATACCGCAAGTCACGGCGCCAATGGAGAATTTTACCAGATTCTGGTTCAACTGGAGCTCGAAATGAACAACAAGATACTGGGAACTCGGGATATGCTGAAACGGCCATCTTACCGAAGAAGAATTTTAGCGGGTCTATTGGTTGAGTGTGTTTCTCGACAGCTGTATTCATGAGTTCTCTCTACTTACCCATCTATGGCGTAGATTCGCCTCCCAGTCCAGCGGTGTCCTCGTCATCAATAACTACCAAATTCTGCTCTATAACAACCTCGGACTCTACGGCTGGCTCCCGCTTCTGCTCTACACTATATTTTCGGCTTGGGGGGCCCTTTCAAACTGGGTCAACTCGCTCATCCTCGATCGGCTCGGACGCGTCCCGGTTCTCACTTACGGTCTCGTGGGCTGCATTTCTGTCATGGCCGTGGAGACAGCCTTGGTGGCTTCCTATGCTTCAACCTCGAACAAAGGAGGAAACGCGGCGGCCGTGGTGTTCCTCTTTTTGTTCATCATGTTTTACGGGGGCACGCAAGACGCCAGTGGCTACGTGTACTGCAGTGAGATATTCCCGACCCCAGTGAGAGCCCAAGGGCTGGGGATATGCATTGCAGGCCTTTTCGCCACTGCCCTCGTGTATACCCAGGTGTATCCTACGGCTTCTGCCAATATCGGATGGAAGTACGTCGCCAAAACCAAAAAAAACTCTCTCCAAAAGACAGCCAAGCCACATTCCCCGGAATCGCTGACCGAGTATCAGGTATTACCTCGTCTTCATCCTGGTCCCCGCCGCATGCGTACCATTCGTCCGGCGTCTCCCGGAGACCAACGGTCTGTCACTCGAGGAAATTGCAGCAAGGTTTGGAGATGCGGTGGCCGTGGATATTCGACATCTTACCCTCGAGCGCAGCGACGCGGTCAGCCAACGTCTCCAGGCAGTTGGACTCGGGACCAGATCGGAGGAAAGATCGAGACAAGCTGAAACCAAGGAAGACCTGGTTGTTAGTCATCACGATGCACAACCAGGTTGAAAAACAAGACAGTCTGGTTGCTTGGGCGAATGTCGGGGGAGCCAACGTATTTGAATGTTAGGGATCTCAAGAATGTAACTAGTTCCATGAATTCCTGGGAGTAGACGGGGAAGCACCAGGTGCACTCCGGGCGTGCCAGGATCTGTAACTCGACAACAAAAGCCTCGATCTCAGAGGTACTCCTCCTTGCTCATGTAGAGAGAGAGGCCTTTTCAAGGATTGCGCTGCGACGCTCGCAGCGCTTCTCATGGCCTCCGTCGACGTCCTCGTTCACTCGTAACCCTCCTGTGCTAATAGCATTGCGCCGCTTAGTCGCCCTTGCTGCCCGAAACTCGATAGAGAGACTAGAACTTCATTGTGCACTCGCTGCGCGCGCAATTCATCTTCTGTCCAATTGCTGCTCTCTTTTCCAAAGGAGAAGAGGCACTCTCACACCGCACGCTCTCACGTAGTCAATTGATAATGACCCTCGAAGTTTCGCCGAAATTTCTAAGAGGGAAAATACCTTAGTTATTGAAGTGAATGTTTTTTGTTTTCAGGGCTCAAGCATAGTGATTAGTCTATTGGTACCTACGTTAAAACGCGCCATTCAAATTGCCCGAAATAGGTAGCGTGAGAACCTTGTTTTCTGTCGTATTACTACTAGAGTAACGTGTCACTGTCCTTTAAGAGTCAAAACATATATCTCACACGGCATGATCAGATCTTCTCTACCTACATATTGTAGTTTGAAAAATAATTCATACAAAATATCTCTCTCTCTTCACACCGCTCCAGTACGACTTGCTCTACTTCCTCTCCGTCCATAACTCAACGACGACGACGAAGGGCCTGGACTCGTGGGGGTAGGACCGACGCTTCCATTCCTCATCGAACTCACGCTCCCATCTCGACCTCGACTGGTGGCCATGATAAAATCTGGCATGCCGAACTGTATCTCGCCGACTCGACGGAAGATACCCCACAGGGCAGAACGAAGGTCGGTGTTGATTTCCTTCTCCAGCAACCCAACAGAAAGAGGGTAGAATGTTTCGAGATGTTTCTGGAAGCTGTCCCTGGGGAAATTCGTGTATCCTTCTAGGACGTCAATGACGACAGGTCTCCAGGCCACAATGTTTCGTTGCTGAGTTTCTTCGTCGAGCAGGATAAAGGAGCGGATGATGTCCGCACATAGCCTGGTAGTAAATTGTTAGTCCTTAGTTTCATATACCAACACAAAAAAAAAACACTTACGGGATCAATGCCCCTTCAGTCTGATCTCTGCTTGACCTCCTCTCCTCGCCTTCGTCATGGTACATCCTCAGCAAGATACTGACGTAGGTGTTGGCGGATCCAGATTCTTGTTTCAATAAATTGGGCGGCTGTCTCATGAATCCTTGTCGCCATAAAGCCATCCTCAGATCCTTGTCGCCGTTGAACTTCTTCGCGAATTGATATGATTTCTTGAGCAGCGTCATGAGTCTTAGTAGTTCCGGTGAGGGTATTTGAGCGTACACCGAGTCATTGGAAAAGAGTTCGGCAACCGTCTCAATCATGAGCAACTGGAGAACACAGTTCGTGATAATCTTGTTGAAAAAGCGACGACGTGCTGCCGTCACTACTGGGGCAGGAGCTTGCATATCTGAATGAGGTCGATAATCTTCTAGCTCTTGTGCACCTTGCTGTGATATCTCGGGAGGCGACACCACCGGTTCCTTGTGACCATCCGCAGGTGGACTGGCGAGTGGAAGCTGTGCTTGTGTTCCATTTTCTGTAGGAGTTTCGACGATTGAGCTTCCTGAAATACTCAGTCCATCACCACTATCAGCAGATGGTGTTGGTCGAGCATCGGACATTGTGGCAGCAGCGGAGAAGAGTTCATAAGCCGTTGTCCGGTTGAAGAGCTCAACAAACGCTGTCACAATCCTAGCCCAGTGTTCGGGTCTGAACTTTGTGACGTTCTGCAGAATGAGTTGCTGAAGGCAGTTGCTGCCAATCCGGGCAATGGTATCGTTTTCTTGACAAATGCACAATGTCAAGAGGTCCAAAAAGCGGTCCAACATGTGCTCTAATGAGTCGAAGTAGTGCGTAAAAAGGGTGATCATGTTTCGCAGGGCTTGAATCATGGTGGTAGACAGCCAAACAGACAGCTCCTCGTGGTTGGGAGCCTTAGACATCTCCGACTTAGACTGCAAGACAACAAAGATCGGATACAGTACTTGGCGCCACAGAGTATCCCAGAATTCGATTGGAAAATCTCCACCGTATCTTATCAACGTCTCGAACAGGTAATTCAGAGCTCTTGATCGGACTTCCAGATCTTCCCCTGTCATCAAGACGTCTTGGTAGGCGATAAGTACCGGATACCAGAATTGCTCTTCCTCCGTTTGTGATGTCGGTTGCTTTACCCCAGCGACAATACCTGAAGCATCAGACTGGGATGATCCTCCGTGGCGTCGAGACAGCGGACACTCGGGAGTCTTGAGCATCTTGGGCACTGTAGATTTCAACAGTTCGATGGCCTGAAGAGATTTCTTCTGGAATTTCAGATTCTTGGAAAACTCGGTTAGACAGACAATCAGGTCCGGGAACGAGCCTTGCGAGATCACAACGCCAAACCGAGTGTTATAGATCTGCGTAGTGTAGTCGAAAGCAATGTTGACAATGGCCTCATACTGCTCTCGGGCCGCAACAGAGAATACGCCAAACATTGTCTTCCAGCCAGACCTGATGTTTTCCCCTCGAGCCTGTATCATCTGTATGAGGCATCTCAACACCATGTCTTTGACGGTGACGACTGTGCTATTTGCCATGACATGCTGGAAAGGTTTGAGAAAGTCTTTTTGAAACTTGAATCCGGGCAATTCCTCGATTTCCAAGAATCTCATCGAGAGTTGTCGAAGAGAATCAAGTGCAAAGAAGACGACGGCGGTGTTATTGTGACAGCCGACTTGATTGAAATGCTCACCCAGGACCTCCCATATCCGTGTCCACTCTATCCTGACTCTGGTCATGTTATAGTAGCTGATCTCCACCAGCTTTTGTAAGCTGTAGGTCCTAGGAGAATCACTATTTCCCGAAGACTGAATCTCTTGCCAGCTAACATCGCTTAGAGCCCTGACGAAATCGATAATGGCTTCAGAGGACAGCTTGGCGGTGTTGGTAAATATTCTATCCACTCCGCGGATCATGTCAGTAGACATAGTCTCGTCTGCAACTTCCGGACGGAAGCTGTGCGCTGATCTGGGTCTTGGACGTCTGGCCGGTTGCATAGACCGTCGGCTGCGATTGTTGTCTCTGGCGTTTGAAGGTGTGGGAATATTGGCCCGCGTGACATCGGGAACAACACCTTCGTCAATACCAGTAGACAATAGTTGAAGCCTGTCAAGCTGGCTGATGCACATGAGAACCTCCCGCCATGAAGATTTCAGCACATCGCCTTCCGACAAGGCAACCTCGATAAGGACTTTCAAAGCTTCCAGATTCTTGGCCATCATCTCCTTCAAGTTGCTCAAGTTGGTGAACTTGGCCAAAGCCGTAACGAAGGCAACCCTTGGGGTTTCGAGATCAAATCGGCAAGATATTCTGATGGCTAGTCTCAATCCATAGAGGCACTGTTTGATAAGATCAAGATTCTGTGCATCTTGCATCTGACTCGAAAATGCTGATAGAAAAGACATCCAGGTCACATTGAACATGGGCCCGACATGCTTGATTGATGTCGCTGGAATGAATCGGGACAAAGCTTCACGAACAGCGGATCGCTTCTGAGCTCGAATGAGGCTTCGATACAACTGCTCCGTCTTGTTGGCCATTTCTTCCGAAGCTTGAGCATATTTCTCCTTCTGTAGATCCCTTCCGACGTTTGCAAAGACCTGCCCGGCTCTTGACGCAAGACCAGTTGCCGGAGTAGCAGCCGTGATCCCTAATTCTGCGGCATGTTCCCTTTCGGACGCTAGGACAATCTCGTTGCTGGCGATTTCCTCGTAGATGGTAGTCAGGTAGTCTGGTGGCAAATCTTGTCCATCGTTGATACCACGGTTGTTCTTGATAAAGTCTTCCACGGTCATTCTTTGTCCTTTCATCTTGGTACTGTGCTGATCGACATTTAGCATGATTACAGAATACCCCAGCACGTAGGCTGTGTCTGCATTCGCAAAAGCATTAGGATTGCCGCTGAGATAACGTTCCGCAAATTTCAGCATGAAACGATCGATCTTTTGAGCTTCTCCAGGAAGTCGGAAGCTTTGCAGGAATTGCCTGAGAGCATCCACAAATCTTCTTTTACCAAAGTCCATAAGATCAACAAATGCATGCATGATCGCAACGTTCGATTCATCGCCCTCGCCTAGAAATTCTCCCAACATGGCTTTGTCGAGCCTATCATTGGCATAAAGGAATTTCGCAATATCCTGTGGATTGTTGCTTCGAATAAACCCGTCGGATATGAGGGCCTTGATGCCTCGTTTAGGTTTGAAGTTGAATTGTCTTATAGCCTCGTTCAAAGCTGTTTTCCGTTGTCTGACCTTTTCAATCTCATTGGGGTCATCTTCGGCTACCGGTGTTGAGACACCAGAAGCAGGAGCAAGTCCTGGTACACGTGGCGATGGTGGAGGCTTCTCTCCGTAGTCAAGCGACTCTCTCGAATCTTCAAATGAACCCCTCGAAGCTGGATAGCGGGATCCATTGGAGCGGTCCGACTGGTCTTGACTTGACCAATTGTCAAGTGAGGTTAATATTTCGGTGAGACAGCGGAGTGATTGCTGCTTCAGAACATATTCCACTGGTATCGGCGGCGGAATTGGTGGCGGGTGACTAAGGGCAGATGTAGTCAAATTAGGGAGTAAGGACCCCTTCGAATGCCACTCTGAGTTCGCAGCAGACTTCCCTTGTTGCTCCTGGTACTGGTGTTGCTGGACTGGTGTGATGAGCACTGGAGTACTACAGATCCTTGACAGATGTTCAATGATCTCTTGGTACATATTGTCCAATGCAGTGCGGTCGCAGTCATAGTTGAGGTAGACCTCCACCAGAGCACGGGGATCGCCCGACAATCTCTCCAAGACGTCCATGAACATCTGCTTCTGAAATTGAGGCGCACTACGCCTTTCCAGAACTGCTAGATAAATCTCTTTCAAAAACACTTCAAGCTCTTTCTTGAGTAAAACGCGCATGTGCTTAAGAGAAAGCCAGAAAATCTCGCAGCAGACTTCGTAAACCCGGGAGACCGAACTGGAGGCATTTCGTGAAAGACTGAGACATAAATGTGGCTTGGCTACTTGCAGAAATGGAGTATTTTCATCATTATTGCCGCTTTTGATAATCGAGAAAGACGAGGTAAATACCGTCGTATAGTTGTTGATAACATGATAAATAAGATGAAGGGAAAGAAGTTTAGAGCGCATATTTTGACTTCGAAGATCCTGCTGCTGGTCGTGACTCAAAGCTTTCTGGCTGAGTTTGCACAGTGATCGAAAAACGAGAAACGCATCTTTGATATAGATGTCGTCTTCGTCCTCCTCGGCCTCCTCACGATCTTCTTGGAGACTCGTTCGCGAAATAGGCCCCGAGCTAGACCGAGTATTCTTACGGTCTCTTTTAGCTCGCGTCACAGTAGTAGGAGCTGAATCAGCCACAACTGCATCATCAAGGTGCTTTGTGTTCTCGAAGCTTTGTAGGGTCAACTTTTCAGGCGCCTGAACGGGCGTGTCTGACAGCTGGGGAGGGGTCTCTTGATCAGGCGTATCCAAGTGCCCATTTAGTCCGTTCAGTGATGCACTTTCGAATGAGGCATCCCCGGAGAGTGCTTCTTCAGATTTTGAAACTTGCTCCCTAAAACGCGCTTCTTTCACATCTAGTCTGACTCTAACTCGTTCAAACACGGTTGCGATCATCTGAAGGAGAGAACCCTGTGCGACTTGCTGATTCTGGCTAGATTTTGAGTAAATGAAGATGTTGTATATCTGGCGGACGGCTTTGAGTAGACCGGCACCATGCACCACTATTTTGTCGTCCAAAACGGCTGCGAGCAAGGATTTGATGATCTGCTGCTGAATTTCGGCGGCGGTCGCTTCATTCTCGAAGCAGTCGCAAATCGCCTCAATGGCTCTCTCGATGAGCGGTGGTGTCTCGGCACCACCAGTATGATTTGTCGCAACGGCAGGGAAAGCAAAGTAAGAATAGCTAATCAACTTGCCGATACAGTCAAGCGCGGTGACCTGCAAGGGTACGTTGAACGATTTTGTGGCCATCTGTAGAGGCTGAAAGATGATCTCTGGGTTGACCGGCTGCTCCGAGTTCTTGATGTTTGCCAAAGCTGCTTGCACAGCCTCTGTGAATTCCTTGTTCCTGCGCACCTCCTTCGCGGCTCCGATGGATTCCAGTGCACTGACGACGAAGACTGTGGAGCTGACCGGTAGTGGGCGGGAGACCACCGTAGATCTCGAATCTGATCTGGTTGGCCTGACCTCCGATGCTGTCTCGTGCTGAGCCTGGTTGGTGTTGTTGTCATCTTGCGAAGGTAGTGACTGGGAGTCCTCCCTGACCTCCCGAGCAATCTCTGAATCGTTGGACTGGGTCGCAGTATCAAGAGTCGAGGCATCTACCTCCTCCTGTGAGTGACGTGGTTCACCAGAATCCACGTGAGATTCGGTGGGCGTTGTACCGTCGCTTTGCGATTCATTGTCATACGCATCGTCCTGCAACGTCTCGGCTTGGGTATCCTCCTCCGCATCGGCGTCTTCGACCGTTATTGTCACTGCAGGAGGTACGGCGACCTGTGGAGGTTCTTCTGATGCGTAGCCATACTCGGGCTCCTCCACCTCTTCCTCCGAGCCACTCTCGTGCTGAGGATCGTCGTGGTCTGAAATGGGCTCGGTTTGGTGCTGCTCACTTTCTACGCCAGACATCTGGCCGGCAAGTGAGAAAAGACTCGGGTCGGAGTCAAGAGAGGGATTAGGATGGTCGTAGGAATGTCAAATACATCGGGCACATCGCAGTCGTCAAGGCTGCCAAATTATTTTGTCTGGGAGCCGAACCGAGTACAGTGTACAGATGTCTTATTCTTATTCCCCTAAGCGCATGCCGCGGAGGAGCATAAAGTTGCTGGGTCCAAGTTCAGAGACGCGAGGCGCTAAAAGTACGGTTGAGTAGAGGACACCACTAAGCGCAGTCCCATGCATCACCTTTGCAGGGGGGTTCCATCGAACTCCGCCAGCCTTGATTATTGGGCCTATGGGCGGGCGAGGCTCCGGGCTACAATTCCCAACGCCGACAGAGCTTCTCCTCCGGCGCCCGACAAGTTATTTTCTTGAGAAGCTGCCAACAGTTCTGTTCTCCCTACAAAACTCGCCGTTGGGGTTTTCTCTTCTCTTCCTCTGTCATTCCTTTGCCTTGCCCGGTTGCATAGCGGTTTGCGATAGCATTTGCGCAGCTGCTGGCTTTTACCATGGCAACCTCAACACTCCTGGCTCGTTCGGGGTCGAGGCTTCTCCTGCAGACTTCTCCCAACGCCCGAATCAGCCGCAGTGCTTTACAAAGACTGCAGAACACCACAGGGTATATTCAGCCTTCAGACGAATCCTAGCGAGAGAAACTGACCATCTTTCTCTAGAATCCAGCCGTTTCCTTGTCTCTCAGTCCTCGGCCGCTACTATGCCTCAAAATGTGCGCAACCATCTCAACCCAAGTCTAAGCAATTGTATTACGAGCGCTGACATTGTTACCTCCAGCCTTCCCTCCCCATACAGTGATCACTATGCCTGCTCTCTCACCTACGATGACGGCAGGCAACATCGGTGCCTGGCAGAAGAATGTTGGCGACACTTTGGCCCCCGGTGATGTCTTGGTCGAGATCGAAACAGACAAAGCTCAGATGGACTTTGAATTCCAAGAGGAAGGTGTCCTGGCGAAAATTCTGAAGGAGTCTGGAGAGAAGGATGTTGCGGTCGGAAATGTAACTTATCCCAGAGCCTATGTTGAGTGATGAATATGCTGACAGAGCTCTAGCCAATTGCTGTTATGGTCGAAGAAGGCGAAGACGTCTCCGCCTTCGACTCCTTTACCCTTGACGATGCCGGCGGCGAGAAGGCTCCTCCGAAGGAGCAGCCAAAGGAGGAGGCCTCCGAAGCCACAGAATCGCCAGACTCCGCCTCAGCGACCGCCCCAGCCGGTGGAGCAAAAGAATCCCAAGAGCCTGCACCTGAAGCTGTGGAAGCTGATACAAGTGGCGAGCGTCTTCAGAGCGTCCTGGACAGAGAGCCAACTGTGAGCCCAGCTGTCAGAAAGCTGGCTCTTGAAAAGGGCGTCGCCATCAAATCCGTCAAGGGCACTGGTCCTGCAGGCCGAGTCACTGTTGCAGATATCGAGAAGTTCAAACCATCGGCAGGAGCAGGAGCACCCGCCGCTGGAGCAGCTGCAGGCCCTACCTACGAGGATATTCCAGCCAGCTCAATGCGCAAGACTATTGCTGCCAGGCTTAAGGACTCCATGAACCAAAACCCTCACTATTTCGTCTCAACCACACTCTCGGTGTCGAAATTGCTTAAGCTAAGGGAAGCGCTCAATGCTGCCTCGGATGGCAAATACAAGCTGTCCGTCAACGACTTCCTGATCAAGGCCTGTGCGGTTGCTTGCAAGAAAGTTCCCGCTGTGAACTCAAGTTGGCGAGAAATCGATGGACAAACAGTGATCCGCCAACACAACGTTGTCGATGTCAGTGTGGCTGTCGCTACTCCTGTTGGACTCATGACTCCGATCGTCAAGAATGCCGACAGCATTGGTCTCCAATCAATTTCAGCACAAGTCAAGGATCTCGGAAAGCGAGCACGAGACGGTAAACTCAAGCCTGAAGAATATCAAGGCGGTACATTTACAATCAGCAACATGGGCATGAATCCTGCCATCGAAAGATTCACTGCCGTCATCAACCCTCCACAGGCTGGTATCCTTGCAGTCGGCACCACCCGTAAAGTGCCAGTTCCTTTCGAAACCGAAGAGGGCACGATCACCGAATGGGATGACCAGATCATCGTCACCGCCAGCTTCGACCACAAGGTCGTCGATGGCGCTGTTGGTGGCGAATGGATCCGGGAATTGAAGAAGGCAGTAGAGAATCCTTTGGAGATGATGTTGTAGTGCTCTTCAGTTGGGTTTGGCTGGATCTTAGCGCGGCGGATGCGGACAGGGGCATGTATAAAAGATATTTGGTTTCTTTGAGGCAAAAAGTCACACTCATGAATTGCCTTGCCTTCCAACGCTAGTAATCAGTGTGTCTGCACAGCGAGAACATTTTGGGTTTTACGATCTGGTCTTTCCACTCCCGGTTTAAAATGGTGATGCAGAAGTCAACCTCTTTTCTACCGGTTGGTGTGAGCACCGAGTGGAACGCTTCTCTTTCGCCCCCCTTCACATCGATGCTCTCGTATGGCTACCGAAACGGGAACATGATGTGCGGCCTCGTGAGATTAACTATTTACCATCGAGAGAGCTGTACCAGTCCTGTGGGTTGGTAGGCCTTGTTCAAGGACTGGTGATGCTTCTATGTAAGAGAAAGCACGCCTGGTGACTTTTGACGTTATCCACTCTGCATCTGCGTCCGTTGCTGAAGGGCTCCTGGGGTAATCAAGGTACGTCGATCCTCCATAGGTATCCGTATATACGAGGTATACAGGGATTACTGAATTTGGACTAGTTTGATATGCAGAGCCTTGTTGGGTTTTACGTAGGGGGTCTGTCTGAGTGTCTACTCAAGCCTCGATGCCTATTCTGTTCAAGCAGAGTTCGATCTCAGTCAGGGTCCTTGACTTGGGCGGCCCTCGGAGTCCAGACAAGGATGCCAGCATTGTCACTTTTGACAAGATGCATATCCGTACGTTCAAGCTATGCTGTGGCTGCGTGGCTGGGGAGCTGCCCTGATGAATGTAAGGGCCATTAGCAGACGCATCAAAGCCAGCCAGACGACCCTTGATACATATAGGACGCTTTACCATTTGATGGGCCGCATAATGGGGTGAATTTCTTTCTCAACAACCATTCCTGAGTCTGGTAGCTTCCTTCCCCACAATGAAAAACGTCATACTACGCCCTCTAGGCGTTCTCCTGCCCTAATGGCAGTAAAGACAAATGCGGTGGCATCAAATGATCGTCCAGACTGGAACCTAGGTGGTGTTTGGGGCAAGGCCAGCGGTGTCAAAGACACCAACAACGTATGCTCTCTCTGCCACTTTCCTTGATGCTATGTCTGATCATTCACAGGTATGTGTCTACTAGAACATCCGCTATGCGTCGCTGCCTGTGGGAAAATTGCGCTTCAAGGCCCCAGAGTATCCGCCATCCAAAAACGAGCCTCCTCCTTTCCCATATCCAGTTTGCTACCAGATCGCCGATAGCAAGTGCCTGGCAGCCAATCCATTCGACGAGGATGCCAACTGTTTCCCATCTTACTTTGCCAACCAGACAGAGGACTGTCTGTTCGTTGACGTCTACGTCCCGGCAAAAATCTTCAAATCTCCCCACCAGCTCAAGGACCTTCCCGTCGTGCTCTGGATCTATGGCGGTGCCTACATGTTTGGATCGAAAGACCAGTACGATCTGTCCAAAGTCCCATTCTATTCAGGCGATGGCATCATCAACACTGCGAGTAGGAACAATGGCGGTAAGCGCCAGTCGATTATCTACGTGACAGGGTAAGTGACCAGAACGGTAAAGCCTGGGCGATTATTTATCCCGAGTCGAAAACCTGTGGCTTACATGTCTGCCTCCACAGGAATTACCGCCTGGGAGCATTTGGCTGGCTCGCAGGTGATTACATGGAGAAGAACGGCGACCCGAATGCAGGACTCATCGACCAGCGCGCCATGATGCAGTTCATTCGCGACCAGATCGGTAAGATAGGAGGAAACCCCAAGCAAGTCAGCGTCTGGGGAGAGTCTGCTGGTGCATCGTCAATCATGCACCATTTGACCATGCCCAAAAACATTCGGGATCCACTGTTTAACCGAGCGATACTCATGAGTCCCGCTTACCAATGGCTATGGGACCGCAAGGGCGACATGAACGATACCTTTACTCAGTTTCTAAAAAACGTTGCTACACAGGCGAAATGCGCGACCGCAGACATGGCCTGCTTGCAATCGACAAATAGCAGTGTCTTGCCGCAAGTCAATCGACTAATTTTCCAAAAGCAAGCCTGTGATGGAGCCATGCCTTTGGGTCCTGCTGTCAACGGCAGCACTATTCCAACATTGGCGGCAAATAGCTATACGAAAGGCCAAGGAATGTATTGCTGGCTTGCAATGCATTCCGTATATCCGGATAAGTTAGAGCAATGTGTTATTTCAAGGACGGTCTTTGTCATGAGGAGAAAACAATACAGGGTCCGCTCGAAAGTGAAGGACGATATCGGAATGTCTGCAGTATGATGAGATTGATGCGAGAGATACCAGAACAAAACCCGGGTCAGGGACGACTCTACTTTTACATGTACTCTCATTAAGTAATAGCTATGTCGCCATGATGTCTTTGGAGCAAGGTAGTACGCCTCGACCAACCAGGCGCTGTAATGGCGGCCCACTGGTTGGCCCTCTTGGAGATACGGAAGGGCGCAGGGATTTTTAATGCACGGCCTGTGACTACAGTATTATTCTATTCACTACATATCGTCTAAAATGAACCACACATTCACACATAGCAGGTATAGATCAACATTTAATTTTCTTTGTTCCATATAGACAGGAGTCGAGCAATGTCTTCAACAGGTACTCACACTGTGGTACTAAGTGATCTTACGCCGCCTACGCATCATGGCCATACAACACCATTACACACCAGAATCTCGTCATCACCCAACACCGACACCAACGACAATAGCACCACCACAATTCCAGACGCATCTATCGATGTGAACGCATCAATTGAAGGCGAGGATACCACTTCAACCTCACTCGGGGTGGGCGTGCGCACCGCCGTCATCATTTTCCAACTCTCGGCCATCAATTTCCTGGCATCTTTTGCCAACGGCGTCATCGTAGTCGGTCTGCCGGCCATCGCGCAAGACATATCCCTCTCCCAGGAACTCTACCTCTGGCCGAGTTCGATCTACGGCCTGACGAGCGGGGCGGCGCTGTTGCTTGCGGGGTCCATCGCCGATGTCGTGGGCAGCCGCGTCGTGGACCTCACGGGCATCGTCGCCGCGGGGGTGTCGACGCTCGCGTGCGGCCTGAGCAGGACGGGCGTGCAACTCGTCATCTTCCGCGGCTTCATGGGCGTCGCCATGTCGATGCACCTGCCCTGCTCGGTGAGCATGGTCACGCAGACGGTGCCGAGCGGCAAACCGCGAAACATTGCCTTCTCATGCCTGGGGCTCAGTCAACCGCTGGGATTCTCGTTTGGTCTTGTGCTGGGCGGCGTGTTTGTCGACACCACCGGCTGGAGAACGGGGTTCTACGTCCCCGGCGCGGCGATCCTGGCGTTCGCCGCGTTGGGCTTCTTTGTGCTCGCTGCGCCAGACACCCTCACGGCGACCAAGGGGAAACTACACGGTCTCAAGACCAAGGTGGACTGGGTCGGAGCCATTATTGCGAGCGGTGGGCTGGCCATGTTGTCTTATGTCCTTGCGTAAGTGGAACCCGGGCTCTACTCGCACACGGTTACAGATTTGCTGCCGTTGATTTTCTTTTTTTTTGGTCCTTCCCAGCGTTCAACACACGTCACAAGAAGGAAAAGGAGACGGGGCTAACAACGGCGACAGGGTATTGAGTGCAGATAGCGAGAGCATTGAGAAACCAAACGCCATTGCGCTCTTGGTCACGAGCGTCGTCTTGATGGCCGCATTTCCCTTTTGGATCAGGATACAGGAGAGGAAGAGGCGTCCGGCGTTGATCCCGAACTCGATCTGGAAGAATCGCGCTTTCACGAGCGTGTGTGTCACTGTGCTATTGTCTACGGCGGTCATGAACTCCATGGAGCTCTTTTCCAGTCTGTTCTTCCAAGAGGTGCAGTCACTCTCGGCCATCCAGGCTTCGCTCCGACTCCTGCCTGCACTCATCTTCGGAACGGTTCTCAATTTGTCCACGGGCTTGCTGGTCGACCGCCTCCCCGTCTTGTGGCTTGTGCTGGTCGCTTCGATCTGCACGGCCGGGTCGCCGTTGCTGATGGCCTTGATCAGTCCGAGGTTGGACTACTGGCGGGGTGCGTTCTTTGCTCAGGTTCTCGAGCCGACGGCCGGTGATATTTTGTACACGGTCGGCCTGATCGTCATCAGCGATGGGTTTCCGGAGCAGATGCAAGGTCTGGCGGGCGCGGTGTTTAGCACGGTCAGCCAGTTTGGCATCTCTTTGGGATTGAGTACCATGCAGGTCATCTCCAACCTTGTCACCGAGGAGACGAAGTATCGCGACAAGAGCTCTCCGCCGGCATTGTTGAAGGGCTACCGAGCGAGCTTCTGGGCCATGTTTGGTGCCATGATTCTATCTTGTTTTGTTGCTGCATTCGGTTTCAGGAAGGCCGGGAAAGTTGGATTGAAGCGGGAGTGAAGGAGGAAGTGTTTTTCGTGCCTTGCTCCGTACGGCACTGAGTCGCTCTCCCCTACAAGACCCCCTTCTCTGGCTAAACTACTTACGAATTTGACTGAACAGAGCGACGATGCCCAGTACCACAAGCGCCACGTCTGGACCATACGCTTTACCCGCCTGCATTTGTAGACCGAGCCCAAGCGTAAAGAATACGACGGACAGAGACGCGGCAAGGAGTCTAAGGACGCGACCTCCGAAGAGCAAGCTGACTCCTATCAGTGTGTCCATTATGGGGGTGATGGTGGCCGTCAAAGATCCATCGTCTGGGGCGTGACTTTCTTGGAACGCGTACCACTGCGGGGTGTAGACGCCGTGGGTGAATCTGGAAAAAGCGCCGAGCAGGACGATGGATGAGAGGATGTAGATTGGTAAATTGTCTGTCGGGGAAGGCATTTTTGACGTGACGATAAAGTAATGTGGTTGTTGGTTAAAAAATGTCTTTAGATGTAGCTCGATGATGATGCCGATGATCTAAAGGGAGAATGCGTAAGGACGACGAAGATGGGGAAATTGAGATGTATATCAACTTGTTTCGGAGTACTTCCTTAGGTGATCATAGCCGGGCTTGATGGGCGACCGGCATGCACAACAGGTACTTAAACGACGTGGTGCCAATCGTAAGTACTCAAAAAGACTTACGAGGACTCCCTGACCCTACGAGGTTCACCCCCGTCCCACCATTCGATTATGGGTCGATCCTTATCATGCAAGAATAGTATTAATGCTCTTTGGGCTACGTTATCCCGAGGTCCTAGTACACATTACGAGGAGCAGTTCGCTCTCATACATCGTAACGAGGAACAAGGCCGAATGTTGCCGTGGGGAAGGCTGTGTACGAAGTACAGAGCAATACGCGGGTTCCTTGTTATATCTCTTGTTGGCGCATACTCTCAGAGTAATGTTTCCACAAAGTACGAGTCCAAGAAGCCCAAGAATCGTCTCCTGTTCCGGCGTGAGATTTAATGGAAAGCGGCCCCCGACGAGGCCCCCAACTCATCCTTCTGGAACCCACATACGGAGTATTGTAGGCGACATTACTGGCACCTTTGTCCTCCGTACAGCAAGTGACAGCGGGGAGCCTAGTCACCTGACTGATCATCTGGAAGAACCGCAGTTTACGGTAGTTCCAACTCTCCGCTCATCTTTGGTGATATTGAGGCGTTGGATGAGGCAGCGTGCCTTTGCTTGAATCCTTTCTTCATCTCACGCTGGTTTGACTTGCTCTCAAGCGCCATGACGTACGCAACAGAAAAACCATACCCGAGTAGTAGAAAGTCCTTTACTGGGAAGAGAAAACCGGTGCGCTACTGGACCTCCGACGACCGTGCCGCCCACCGCGTCTTCAAAGATAAGTCGGCAGGCTTTGAACGACGATCTTATTGTACGTTCGCTGGCCTTCGCATTCATGTGTGGGGTGTGATACTGACAACAGATTCCTCCAGGATCTTGCGAGACAGTTGCCAACGTTGACTTCGACCCGACGACTGAACAAACACACGATCGTTCACGAGAGCCTTACACGGCACAAGCAACAACGAGAATTGTTAGTAGCTGCCGCGATGCAGATACAAGAGGCGATTATCGACGGAACGCTATGCTCGATGAGCTGAATGGTTAGCGTGCCACCAATATCGACGTCTTCGCCCCAAATTTGCCCTGTCCCGTCGACGAAACACTCCTAAAACCCCTTTCTCAATTACCTCATGAATTCTTTGGGACTTTCAAAATAGATCTGGGAACAAGGTGGCAGCGGCGGCGAGGATCAAGAGGAGTTCTTCCGTGAGTCAAATGTCAATCAGCTGCACATCCAACCAGAAGAAATCATATACGGCGAAGATCAGGACGAGTTGACCAATACAGATCAACGATACATGCGACCGGTTGAAGAGGCCACATATATCACACGCGACGACGAGGCCGAGGCTAGTTCTTTCCATCATCCGAATTCCATCACACAATTGCCGCTGACGATCGACGAGAACGATGTTGCCCTACACGACCGAAATTATCACTTCATTAGACCACCAGGCGTATTATGACCCTGGTTTTGATGGGACATTGGTGCCTCCCGCATCCGTCGATTTTCTATCCCATTGTTACAGCAATGACCACGTTCGATCTTTGGAGTAAGAGCTTCACCGTGAGGCATACAACCCGTTTATGCTCGACGCATTGACACAATTTCCGCATGGCAGACTCTGCTGTGACCTGGGATTCTTCTGAGCCTCCAAAATATTCTCTTTAGTTAGACGACGAAAGCGGGCAACGATGAGAATACAGACACGACGAATATTCGAGTGAAACCAGAAATAAGTATTTTCATTCTCGATTGAATACTTCATGCAAAGCTACATGACTCCCTCTGGTCGCAGAAATGGTGCAAATGCTATGGTATCTGATTATAGCTTCTCCATCATAGCCTCGATCTTGACTCGGCTAAGGGGCTCGCCGCCCTTGAAGAGGTCGAGGGTATCATTCAGACGCTGCTGCGTGACGGGGTCAGCCACGATGGCCTTTTACAACTCGGCCCCCTCGTTGGCGAGGCAGTCGGTCTTCGTGTCTGCCAGCTTTCCGTCCCAGTCTGCCACTGCGGGGGGATCGTCATTGACTATCTTGGCCAGGAGGTCGGACAGTTTGCCAGAAGTCACATAGACATGCTGTGACTTCGGTTGGCCCTCGGCGGGCTGTTCACTTCCGTCGTACGGGAGCTTAGCGAGCCCGTTCAGAACCTCGTGGGAGATGTTGGCCGTGTGGCATCCTATTTCTCCAGCGGTCATGGCCTCCTTGGGAGCAATGAAGCTAAGTTTAAGAATAAAATCAGCCTTCCTACTACTTAAAATTTTTCATCGCGCGTACAAATAAACTTTAGCTTACCTGGCGTTCTTGAGGAATGGCTGTTCCTTGTCCGTCTCCCTGCACGATCGTCGGTAGGTCTCGAGTACTGGGTTGCGGGGTCCTCGACGTTGGGGCCACAACTTGAGATCATCGTGGGCACGAGTCTCTGTATTGTACACGGATGAGCCACTTATCAGATTGACCACGCTTCTTCTTTTTGGGTGTCTGTGTGCGTTGCTGAGTTACCGCTATGATAAGGTGACTTTGCACAAGCAGTCTTCTTGGCCACAGGCAATGGCCCGAGCGAGACTGAACAGCGCGGTACCCAAAGTGCGGATTAGCCCGGCCTCGACGATCTTTGCACCATTGAGTGGGGGCCCCGTGGATGGGATCTTGATAAAGAAGCGGTCGCGCGAGATACCTGTTCTGCGCAACTCCTCAAAGTACACGCGGGCATGTTTGACGACGGCATAGACGTCGTGGGCTCATGAAGGTAAGACCTGGAGTAAGGCACGACCATTGATGTGATTGATGTCCTTCTTGACGAGCAAGACGGCCTAGGCAGAACTTGTCAGTCTCCCCAGAAACGTACTATGATCGTCTTCCCAGTCGAGGGTACGTACCAGTCTGGTATAGATTCTAAGCCATCCCTCACTCTTCGAACGATGTCCTCGACCATTTTGGCGCTTTTCTGCTTGTTAAGCTCGATATCTGGGTTTGATGGGCATGTTGTGGACGTATTCTGGGTCTAGCCAGTCGATATCGACACTTGCTGTTCAATGTTTAGAATTGGGGGGTTTTCTCTTCTTTTCTCTGGTCCATACGCTGCTCGTCCAGCTTTTCAAGCCATGTTTGAGTCCCGACACTGCCCACCATGTTTGATCCTTGTAACGACGAAAAAGAAATGAAGCTATGAAGAAATGTGTTAATACGCACCCGTTGTCTGATACGGAGTTTTCCGAAAATGATATCACCGTTGTCAAAGCACTCTTTCTTTCTTTAATTCGTGTTTACAGTCCAACTCGTAAAATGCAAGGGACCTGCTCCTGCCTATGTACGTACCCTCGTGTGAGATCAACCAAAGAATTTTTCTTCGTAGACAGAAACCCGTGGATCAGACACTGAGGGTGGGGGTCTTTACACACACACAGGTCGGTCGGCTGGAGGCGGACAACGCACGTCTGACATGGGAATCATACAACGGTGAGAGTGGATCTGATTAGCACTCTTTCCGATGAAGGAGGGCCGTGTGACTGTGTCGCACACAGAGCATACATATGTCTGCTGTGCGAGGCCAGACTAGTGGTACCAGACTACACAGCTGAGTCATCGAGCCCCTGTACAGGTCCAGAGCGTGAGGGCATACATGGCCATAATGTGCCTTCTCCGCACAAACATGGTCTCACTGGGGTTCCCCAGTCCCTGGACGGGGTCCTGGGAGGGGTGGCCCACATGGGGGCCATTTCCACATTGTCATTTGCCAAAACTATAGTAGGTTTTCTACTAGCACGCTATACCAAACCTGATCCACTTGTTTTGTACCTTTTGTCCACGTCAGCAAGTGGTATCCCTCGACAGCCTCGAAAGACGTCGTCTACCTACCCGTAAGATGATGGCCTGCCTTTGGGCGATGGATCTTCGCCGCTACGAACCAACAGCCCATCCCTAGAATGTGGTATGGCTTCAATCTTCAATGCCGCAACTAGATCGGCCAACCTTACGACGTGGTGTTAGATTTCGAGACTATGCATTCCCGTGGGGATCGAGTCCGAAGTAGAACATCAGAGCTGCTTTCAAAGCTTGATCTCCCTGGCACAGCGCTCTTGAACCTGCGACAAGTGGCTCACTCTTGACCATGGACAAATGAAGTCCGTTAACCTCTTGGACACACTGCACTGATGGCCTGGACATTGTCGTTTCAACCGCCGTTAGCGAACACGTGAAAAACCTTGGTTGCTTGGTGTTCATTGTTCCTTCGAGTTCACTTCTGGGAAACCTGACTGAAGACGCGCCACAGCTCCTACGCCGGGAGCAAAAGACCTGGCTTCCTGGACCAATGTTGGAAAAGCACGTGAGGTGTGGGGATGTGAACGTGAGTTACGGGGCCACCGACCAAAAAGAAAGGCTTTGAGTGTCAATGGGTTAATGGAACTTGTGGAGTTTGGTGGCGGCGTAGCGCACACTTCTCAACTTGGTTGGGCCACATCCGGTGACATGCAATACAAAGATCTCCCACTCTGCTTAATGAATCACGGATAGAAATGGTTTGCCGAAGAACGTGCGCGCCGGATGCGGGCATTTCCAAGAACAACATTTCCCAATCCGGCAATCCGGGCTTTGATCTCGAGTATGCACATACGCATCCGGCACTCCAGGGAATCGAGCGCTTTGTATTGTTGCCCCTATTTATCTGGCTGTATTCTCGTGCTCGTGAATGTCTACTCTTGTACTTCTACACGCTTGTAACCTCTCCACTCTTACCTCCTCTTGGTTGGCACCAAAAAAAACCCTTCATCGCTTCAATCCCCTTCGGACCCGACCTTGCAAGTCGACATTATCAACGTCCCCCAATCTTCTTGTGTCCCGCGAGAGTCAAAGCACCATGGCCTCTACGGAGAAAGCAGAGGAAGCCGCGATATTACCTCCCGATTCCTTCGAATATCTCAAATCCATCAAATGTCACCAGCCCGAATTTCTCCGTGCCCGGAAGCTTCGCATATCATCCAGCGAGATACCTCGTCCCGACCATCGTCTGATAAGATACAAGGCGAATCGTGAGCGCGAAAAGATGCTGGAGGTGATAAACAAGGTGTACCGCCTTCCACGCTACCCGAAGGGTTGTTTTAGAGAACTCCTTCAATGGCTTCACCGGTTCGACTTCACTCAAGACGAGGAAGAGGAATTTGTCAGGTTTCTTAACGAGCCTTCGGGGTTCGATCCGGAAGGTCGGTTTCGGGTAGTCACACCTTTCCTTCGGACCAAAACTCACAAATTTTTCGTCGGAAGTCCAATGTTACGAATGACTGCTGCCTGCGCAGATCAAGGCGACACCACAGACGAGAGAGATCAAGACGACACCACAGACGAGAGAGACCGAGACGACACCACAGACGTGGTAGCTCAAGATGACACCACAGACGTGGTAGCTCAAGACGACACCA